CCATATGAAAAGGCTGAACCTGATTACACCCCCCGTCCTCAGCATAATGTGAGAATCCACAATCAGTCAGCTAGTCTGATAAGAAAGCAATTCAGGTTCTGTGCTTAATAATTTTAAACAGCAGCTCACCTTGAGCGAATGAAATGTCTAAACAAATATGTCCTCTGAAATTTAATATACAAAATCACCACAAAGAGCAAGACTGCATGTGCAAAGATCAAATTTATCTGTTGAGCAAGGCTGAATTCACTCAGAGCACATTATACATATGTTGCCCTCAGGTAGTGGATGATCTCTATTCAGAGTCCTGAAATTGATGATATAGCAAGTCTACAGACAGAAAGAAAATGATTCATTGCCTTGGCCATCAACGTGTCTTCACAATCTTAGGTGTAGTCCTTGCCATTTATAGCAAACTCACGTCTTTAGTAAAATCACACACTAAATCACATATGCCCACGAAGACCATTTCCACCCCTGTTGTGTGTAGGCAGAGCTATGAATGTTGACAACTGCTAACAGAACTTACATAGATGGAGGATCTGGCCTAGAATCATGCAATTGCTTCCATGTGTCTGGAACATTTAGAATAATTCCAATATGCAATGTGCCTCTTGATTGCTTCCCTAAATTGTCTATGTGTTAAGCCGTGAGAACAGAAAATAAAGCAACAAAAAAAAAGTAGTTGGGATGCTCCCAAAAGAAAATTTAGACTGATAGAGGTCCAATATTATCATTACAGTAATGGTTAATGAACGATATTTACCTTTATTAGATAATTCTGTATTCTTTTGAAATAGTGAAAATACTGCAGCATTTACATGGCTTGTCTACTTCATCCCACAATCCTGCACTGCATCACTATCACTGACAGATTCCTAAACAACTACCACATGGTCAACCTCCTCACTTCCCCCTCCTAAAACACATACCCAAACAGCAGCAAGATTAAAATAAGCATCAGTTATTATTATTGGCCCAGTTTTACTTGTGGGATGTTTAAAAAAATTACAACATTGGCTGATCTATAAAACATCACCTTATCAAGCAAGAAGATGATTTCTTTAAGAGGTTAAGGCTCCCTGGAATATCAATAAAATAGTGCAAGTCTGACCTGATAATAGGTCAAGCAATTCCCCAGGTTGAAATATGTTTTCTAAAGGAAAGCAAAAAGAAGGTATAAGAGTAAAACAATGAAACAGTTTCCAGAATACAGAGTTGGAACCAGGTTTAGATTCACTATATAAAAAGACACAGTCTCTCTTAATGTCTGTAATATGTGTAGACTAAATCTTGGGTCAGTTTAGATGACAAAAAGTAATTGTACTTGCTAAATGATATTTAGAGAGGCAATATTTGCCTTTATTTAATTTGGGGAAGTTCATATAATTATGTCAGGACTTTGCAAACTTCTTATAGATTAAAAGAACATATACTAATTTCTAGATGACTGGAGGTGTCACATTCATTTATTGAAACAATTCTACACAAGCAATATAAGATTGTTCAGCTGTCATTCTGAACATTCTCAGGAGATACAATTTTATTTAGAGTGAAATGTTTTAATCATACCCATAACAAAAGTTAAAGGTCGTCTGAAGATGTTAAGGTGAAATTGCAAAGAGACATTATCCAGTAGAATGCTGCATTAACATGGGTCAGGAAGAAGCCATGACTCCAGCAGTAACAGAAAAGGTAAGAAAACTGTTTGCAAATGCACTTAGGGAAAAACAACAACAACAACAACAAAAAAAACATCAATTATCCAGGATTGTCTGATGAAATTACAATTAAAGTGTTTGGCCTTTACTACTATTGTTAAATTTGAAGAAAAACAGGAAGCTTAAAAGCCATTCCACCTGTGAAGGAGGGGACGGCAGTATCATGTTGTGTTGGGGTTTTATTGGCTGAGGGTCTGATTAAGTTCACAAAATAGATGCCAGTGTATGTAGATATCAGGCTCCGATTGCACTTGCAATACAAATAAAAGTAGGCACAATGAGTCAGGAGAAATGTGATCTTATCCTTAAAGGAAAAGGCTACCATTTTCTCAGTTTCTCATATTACCATAGCTATAAAGTGAATCATCCTAACCCTGTTCAGATTTGTGATTTCTTCCTTGTGTCATCTTTACAAGGAAGAAGAAAATAAACAGCGAGTGGAAATTGTGTAGATGAAAATGTATTTTTGGTGTCAGAGGCCAGCAGAAAAAGGGCAGATAGGTGAGATGATAGGAAGGCAACAGCAGCTCAGATAATTCATGGGAACCGCAGTATGAGCAATACTGCCTTTGAATGCACAACACATTGAACCTTAAATAAGACAGCAACAGAAGACCAAGCTAGTATACTAAACTTCATACTCCTCTCAGCTGTGGACAGGAAACTGAGCTCACAATTTGCACAAGCTTAGGCCCCGGGGAAGACCAGGACACGCTGGAGGGACTATGTCTCTCAGCTGGCCTGGGAACACCTTGTAGTTCCCCCGGAGGAGCTGGAAGAAGCGGCTGGGGAGGGAGAAGTCTGGGCCTCCCTTCTGAAGCTGCTGCCCCCGCGACCAGACCCCGGATAAGCAGAAGAAAATGAAGCTTTGAACTTCGTAAGACACCTTAAGCTAGTTTATCGTCAGAAGCAGAGTAGCAGTTTATAGACATAGCAATGCCAACATGGATAAGCAAACTGTGAGTCATATTTAAAAAAAAAAAAAAAAACAGCTAGGGACACATTTCAAGAGTCTGGTAAGCACAAGATGCAAGTTTTTCCAAATTACTCATATGCTTATAAAAGAAATTTAAACACCTTCAGGGCAAGAATTTGCTTTGTGTGACATACAGTGTGTAATTAAGCACTATATTTTCAGAGGAAATCATGCCCTTCATTACAGAGGCACTGTCACTAACCACCCACAGAGGTCGGTTGAGCCTGAAGGTAAAGGAGTGGAGTGTGTTTGATTGGATGCAAAGTAGTAAGCTTCCCTTTTCCTAAACACCAAAAAGTTATTGCTTAGCAATCCATAAGACATTTTTAATTTGCTCACCCACATTACCAGGTTTGTCTGTTGTTGTGACAAGCTCATGGTCATAAGTAACAAGCTCCTAACATAAAATGTCTAGAATTTTGAGACTATTTTGTTGTTGTTTGTCTTAGATAGAGAAATAGGACAGAATTGCCTGAGGTAATTAAGGATGACATGATGTTTATGTAACCTCCAAACCTCACAACCCAGAAGCAATTATTGGCTCCTGGTCCCCATGACCCCAGTTCTGTAGCATTTTGCATCGCAAAACCGCAATCCTGTGTCATAAGAGTTAGCAGGGTACAGGGTGATGGGGAAGGTGGGAACACTGAGTGGGGGCGAGCAAGAGTTGAGTTCTTTTCACAGCTCGCTCTGACGGGAACTATTGCTGTCTAATATGGAGTGACGGGCACTTCAGTGGAGAGGGCGTAGAGCCCCCCAATTTCCGCCAGGTCCCCTCAGCAGGAGCAGCAGAGAAGCCAAGAGTTGGGGTGGCAGACTTATTGTGGCCCAGTGAGTTGGAGTGGGGCATGGGGCCTCATTACAACGCTTAACTGCACTCACAGGCCCTCATTAACCCACCACACCAGTGACTCAAATCAAAACAGACAAAAAAAAAAAAAGAGGGTCAGTGCGTGAATAAAAGGTTCTATTCGAGCTGTAGCATTGTAACTGAGTGCGTTATGGCATTTTTAAACAACCAGCCCCCAGTAAACATGTAATTCTAGAAAAATTTGTCAATTTAAGTATAAAAATGTCCTATGTAAATGATTCATTTGCTTCCTTTTCAAGCAACTGTAAATTTCTTGTTAGACTGATTCTGTGCTGGCTTTGGATTATATGAGGATGGGGTTAATCAATCTAATAAAACTAAATAAAACCAGTTCACAATAATTCAGATAATTAATCTTTACTGATGACCACCCTATTTTTTTATCCAGTCTTCATCTATCAATGCATTCCCCTCAGCTGCATACAAATAGCCCTGGACAAATTGCAAATTCAGTAAAATCAGCCCACTCAAAATGCCTATGGACAGACAGTTGACCAGTTATATGCATGTACACTTATCAGCCACTTTATTATGTACACCTGATTAAGAGCTTGCTCACACATAGCACTGCCATTTCATTGACTGCCATTTCAGTCAATGAAATGGCAGCAATTCAAAGCATTCAGGAATGTGAAGATGACCAGCTAAATGTATTTGCTGATATCCTGGGACTATCAGCCACAAACATTTCTTTCTTTCTTACACAGATTGGCCCCAGAAGCGGAAAACACCCAGATAACAATGGAGTTTAAACTTGAAAACATGGAACCAACCTGCTTTGTATCAACAGTGCAGTGTTGTAATACTATGGGAAACATTTTTTAGCACACTTTCCATCAGTCTTCATAGTCATTGTACAACAATATTTGTTAACAAGTGGGTAGTGGTGTCAGTGAAGGCATTGTTGATGCAAAACAGTCAATGCTTTAGTAATGTATTTTGATATTGAAATGCATACTAAAGACAAAGCCAAAAGCTGAACTGCACTGGCCAGTTACTCCTGCAAGAGATCACATCACTACTAACAGAGATATTTTTAAGTCTAACTCTTCAGTCAAGTGTTGTAGTTATTTAACAGTATCAAGAGAGTAGACAGCTGCTGGATAGCACTTAGCTCCCTGGTCTAAAGTACGTAGTGATGAGGTCACACATTAAGGACCAGCAGGCCATCACATTCTGTCCGTCACATTATCAGCAGTGCTCTGTTTCCCATTTTATAGCCCTTAATCTGCATACATCACCATAGAAAAGAGAAAAGAAGCAGACTTCGAGGGGGCTTTTGCACAATACATTATGTACATGTGGAGAAATATGTGTGATGAAAATTGTGCAGGCCATAAGCAATGGAAGAGTTACAGGAGTGGGGAAGAAAAAAAGGGGAAAACCACATGGCGAAGGCAAAGCACTGAAGAAGACAGATGGACCTACTTACCAGCCTGGTTAGTGGTAATGTTGACTGAGGCGTACTGAGGAGAGTAGGGGCTCTGATCTGACACCCCGTTGACAGCCTGCACCTCAAACGTGTACTGTGTGTGGGCCAACAGGTCACTAATGTACACCCGACTTTTTGTCAGGCCAAGCTGACGGGGTAAAAACTGAACATTGTCCCCACACCGGGTGCACCCGCCGCGGCCTCCGCCACAGCTCTTGCAGATGATGTTGTAGACTACATCCTCACGACCTCCAGAATCTCGAGGTGGTATCCACTCCAGCATCACAGAGGTTTCATTCACACTTGAGATCACGGTCTGTGGAGCTGAGGGCACAGCTAAAAAACAAGGAAGATTTATAGTCTCAACATTTAGTTAGGTAAATGTGCAGAAGAAATAGCAAAGTATTTTGATCAAAATGTTGTGCAGTGAATCTTGTGCACCAGATATAATTTTCCTCCCACTTCACAATTATGCGTGACTGTGTTGGTGTACCACATTAATTCCCAATAAGATACATCTAAGTAAGTAAATGTAAAAGTGTGAGAAACAGTGTATGAATAATTTTCAAGACACGGTATAGCATGCACTTTTATTTCATTGTAATTGCCTTTGTAATATCATTTAAAGGCAAATGAGCAAAGTCATGATGCTTAATTGGACCCTACTTATCCAAATACAGTATGTTCTCAAACACTGGATGTTCATCGAAATATTTTATAGTGGCTCAGGTTGGCCAGTTATTGTTCCCATTTAGCTAATAAAATACATTAAAAATGAAACTTTCTGAGCACATATGTTCAGTTCCAATTTGGGATTATGAAACCCGAATCATGATCAACGAAAACAATTTTATTCAGCTTTTCAAATTCACTCTTTAAGAGTATTTTCATGTTGTTAAATTGAAGGCAAAGCTGTCTTTCCTATGTCTTTCAACAAAACTTTGTTCAAAGGCAGGGGGGTCTGACTAAGACTCTGGCGAAAGTCATGAAAAACTGATATCGAAAAAAAATGATTGTAGCTCATGTCAGTGCAACATTTGGGAAATCAGGAGGATGTGTTGTGCCCTTGACAGTGTGAAGGGTATAATTGCTATCTCTTCTTAGACAAACCCGTAACAGGAGAGGAATTCCACCAGCTTGTCTGTATAGCCTCTTAGAGTTGACTGCATTCCAGGCTTGCAGTGCCTTTTCCCTTGAGATGCCCATTTACACTCTCATTTTCAAAGTTGATCTCCACTTTGTCAAGTGCTTTCCTAACATCTTTTTTTTTTTTTTTTTTTTTAATGGAGAACAGCATAGCGGCTAAGAGAGACCTACACTTTTCTATTGAGACATTCTTAGCAGGGCGGAAACTTCCACATGTTGCTGCGTGTTGAGTGGCAGGGCAAACAAACAAACAGTGAAAACTGTTTATCTTTTAAGGCCATGTGCACCTAATTATAGTAGACGTGTCCTCCAGGACTAACAAGATAAACAGTTCCACTCCGCCCACAACATCCTAAATCTGAATCGATCACTTTTTATTTAACCTCTTTTTAATTGGCTGCAATTAACAGATCTCTTGCACTGGAAGAAAGCCCAATGGAGTGCTCTTCTTGGAGTCTCTCTGAAACACAACTCCTCTTTGGCATCTCCTTCTGAGGGAGGAGGACTAATATCCCTCCCATTAGCTGGCGGGCCTCTCTGATGGGCCTGTTTTCTTGCTTTAATCAGACCAGGCCCTGCTGCGCTTAATACGGGTGACGTGACGCTGCTGCTTTCTCATTCACAACAGCTGCTCAACTCCCAGACCCAGGCTTATGCAAATCTCCTTTGTTGGAGACCATCAAATCTTTTCCCTCCTCTCCCTTTTCAACAGGCTAAGAGGGAGTTTAAGGGAAAAAACACAACTGAAACACTGAAAGGTGCTTATTTTTCCTAACTCTCCCCTAGAGCACTAATTCTCCTTCCCTCCACACCCCTTTTCTTTCCGGATAAAATTCCTGGTTTCTTCTTTTATAGCTGTCTGTCCTTCATCCTTATCCCCCCCCCCACCTCAGTATTGCTTCGCTCTATCCATCCATCTGCCTTTTTCTTCTCCCATATCAGCGTTAGTCTCAAATTCTAATTCTGATTCAAACGGCTTCATTGGCATCACAAGGGAACGCTTCACCCCGGCTCATTCTCTGAGACTGACCCTTCACAAAGCTACGTGCTCTGGCCCACTAACCTCCAGTCTGGTTTGGAGTAGGGACTGTGTGATGTTGAGGGAGGGCAGCCGAGCCTTGTCTGCCAGGTCAGATCTGTGGACAGCCACACTTTGAGCATGTCAGCATTATGTTTGTGCGAGGGGCAGCTCTGACAGGGTTTCTCTGTTCAAAGCTGTGCAGATGACTATCACCCTTTGATCTCAGAAACTTCTACTTGCGGGTGAGAAATGTGCGTGTCAAAGACTTCATATCTGAAACTAAAGAATAACTGCTCATGTCTGGATAGTTTGTGGAGATGACTTGAATGCTGAACAACTATAATGAAAATGGAAACCCATACGTACTTGTGCATGGCATCTGCAGAGGATCAGAGTCAGTACGATAGTATCCATTGCGACAAACGCAGTTGATGGCGCCCTCACTTGTGGTACGGCTGTTGATGGGACACTGCATACAGGACTCATCGCCTTGAGTAGGCTTGAAAAATCCTGATGGACAGGCTGAAGACAGAAGACAAAAAAAAAAAATTAGTCATTCTTAAAAAATTTTTTTTTTTTTTTTTTTTTTTTCACAAAAATAGAATACTGATGAAAATGCCAGGATAAATATTGTACAGTGAAAAACAGATGTTTACATACATACACTCTTTAACAAAATTAAAACTGACATTAAAACTAAATTTTATGTCTTTATGTTAGCTGAAATGACTAACAAAAACATAAAATTTATAATTGCTAAAGGCTAGAACGATGTGGACACTTCTTTCTTCTTTTTTTACTTCTTGTTTTGAATTTACAAGAAATTAAGAGCATCTGGGGAGTCCCAGATCATGAAGACATGGCTTTGTAAGCCTTTGATTAAAACCAATTTGCAACATTTTAGTTAATTGGTTGCAGACACGTGGATGCATTTTAAGACAGTTCTCAAACATGCTGCTCGTGTGACATCATGAGAAAATCTAAATAAATCAAGCAGAGTATCAAAAGGAGAATTCTGGACCCCTGAATGCCTTGTTCATCATTGGATTCAATTACCAGATGTCTGAAAGTGTTACACTCAACTTTTCAAACAATTATAAACAAACACAACAAAGGAATGTCCAGCCGTTATGCTGCTCAGGAAAGTAGCATCTGTGGTTCTGCGTTCCACAGACGAACATGTTTTGGCTTGTAACGTTAACATCAAACCCCGAACAAAAGCCAAAGAGCTTGTGAAAAAGCTGACTAAAGCTGGTAAGACAGTGTCATTATCCACAATGAACCAAGTCATGTACAGACAGCACTAAAAGGCCACTCAGAGGAAAAAGCCATTACTCCAAAAGCAACATAAGAGCCATATTGCAATTTGCAAATGCCATTCATTTCTTTATTGTCCCACATATGGAATTTTGGTGAGCAGCAGCAGTCAGAGACAGTAATGGCATAATCCACACATGTCAACACAATTACCACACCACATGCATTCTGGGAAAAAGACGTAAATTTTTGAAGACATGTCGTGTCTGATGAAACTAAACTAAATCCAATCTGTGAAGTATGGCGGTGGCAGTGTAATGTCGTTAGAGTTAGCTGCAGGAGCAACTGATGCGCTTCCATAAATCATGAAGTAAGAATGACATATGGAAATATTGACGGAATCTCTCACCACTCGGCCATGAAGTTTAAAGCTTCAGATCAAATGGGTCTTCTAAATGGTAAATGATCCAAAGCTTAGTATCAATGTCGCAAGTTGACTCTTTGTAGACACATAAACATAAAAACATGTAAGTTTGCTTTGAATTATTCACGGTGCTGCGGTTGTCTGAGAAATATCCGAAGCATTCTGTTCCCACACAGGCACAGGCAGGGTAATCAAAACATACACCGCATTCAGCATTAAATACTGTAATTATGTGTGTGGATGAGTCATCTCTTCTACATAGGTGGTTTTGTTTGAGTGTTGCCATAAGATTCAGTTGCTGTTGTGATAATATTGGTGGTAGTAAAAAAAAAAAAAAAAAAAAAAAAAAAAAACCTGTGCTTTTGGTGAAATCTGTTTATCTTTCACTGGTTTAAAAAAAGTAATAAAAAACTGACATTTGCACCTGCACTATGTCAAGAGCTTTTCTTGTAACTCGAGCCAAAGAGAAATCTATGGATTTGCTTCAGGTAATCTGGCTTCCACCTGCTCCACTGATGGAAAATGAAATATAGAGGTACTACTAAGACCGAGGTGTTGGAAGTACAGCAACCTGAAAAAAAATTGCACATGGGACATTGTGTGTATCTGAAGTTAAAACCCCTTCAGGTATTTTAAAATACAGTTTCTTTTTCTTTGGCAGCTTTATAAAAAGTGGAATATGCAGCCAGATAAAAGGAGATGAGAAGGCGTTCTTATATACTGTTTGTCAATTCTTATATTTTACAACAACATACTAATATATAATTTTAATCTGACATTTTCAAGGTAATATTTATCTACATCCTCTTATTGCTACTTGTACAACTTAAACACTATCACAACTATAACAGAAAATGTTATGGAACAAAATTTCTATATTTTGCATATTAAAGAAAATTGCAAATTTTTTCATTCTCTAACTGTAAATGCAATTACATTACAGACATAGCATTGGAGCATAAAAACACCAGTGAATAATACTAAACTACATTACCCACATAGCATAGCATCAAAATACGTAAATTAATCCACACATTGCTTCTGAAGAATATCCGTGAAGAACAAAGATTGACAGTAAGTAAAGATTCAGACGGGACTCTAAGGCACAGTTTGGCAAACCTGATATGCAACGGTTATAGTAAAGAAAACAGTAAACCTGTCGATGGAAGCGTTTGAACATGCAGGGTGTGGGTACTTAACGTGGAGCTCAAAAGTTAAATATTACAACACTGACACAGTTGGGCCCGGCCATCTGGCGCTGTGGCCCCTCAGTTTTTCTGAGTAACCCTGGCTCTTAAAGTCGAAGAATCAAAGAAAAAATATTTAAGCCATGGCTAAGCTATTAAAATACTACAAAGCTGATAAAACAGAAACATGTCAAGTTCTCAAAGATATGGATGTTTGTTTTACCCTGTTCAAGAAAATTACAGCCACAAGTTTAAAATAATTAGAAAGTACAATTATAAAGTTTTTACACCAGCCCAGTTTCTTCAGTTTTTTGTTACTAAAATGTCTGAATTTATTTTAACATTCTAAACTCCTCACAAACTCATTTGTCTCTCATAAGGTCTGTCAGTTGTATTTGGAGGAAGCTGAAATCAAACCTCCAACCTTCACAAGACAACTAATCTACCCAGAGTCACAGTCTGCTGTAACCCAGAACAGAATGCAAATTTCATAGCCACTATTTAAAATCACGGGAAATACCCTGTGAGCAGTCATATTATTTAACATAACATAAGCCTAAACTGTGACAGTAAAAGATTTTATTTGGACTTTTGCCTTATTTAAAACTATGATATTACTAACACAATTGTAATAATCACATGCATAAACTAATTCAAAGAATTTTTAAATGATCATCCAACAGTAAATAAACTGAGGCAGTGTGGATGTAGAGAAGCTAACCTAATTTTCTAACATATGATTACATCTAGTTATCCAAACTTAAAAGTTTATCTAAAAAGGCACATGTAACAATCTTAGTTAAATAGCAGAAGTCAACAGCAAAAAGTTACTCAAAATAAAATTCAAATAAAGTTAAAAATCTTTTCAAAAAGTATTACTGTTGACATGTTTTTCTTCTTCTATGATTGATGGAGAAAAAGGTTTGGGGGACTGAGAGAAACATGAGGCCTGGACATTCACACTGCCAGTCAACAGGGTCCATTAATGAGGCCCAGGCAACAGCTATGTGGGGAACTGGGATCAAACCAGTGAGGTCCATGAGAGTGTGGGGCTCCACGAATCAACACCATAGGAAACAGCAGAAAGAGGGAGTTGGGGCAGGAGTGTAAATGAAAACAAAGACATAAGATGGAAGAAGTTGGGGATTTTTTCATCCAAAGAATTAAGTGAATTACTGAGTCTGTATTAAATTAATGTGTGGTGCCAGCATGCAGACTATGCAAAACAAAATGAGCAATAACATTCAAATCTGGCTGTAGAGGAGACTGAATGAAAATAACTGACTATGCAGAGCCGCATGATGCCAGGCCATGACAGTGGTTGCATTTCTGTGGTTCCTGATGGATGACACACTAGTCCATAATTTAAATTTTCCCACTGAGATCCTAAACCAACAGACATTATTGTTTGTTCACTAAAGGCTGTAAAACTTCGTGTTAAAAACTACATGAAGAAATATTCTCTTAACAAGACATTACATTTTCTGGGACTGTTCAGTTTTATTTTTTCAGATAGATACAATTCATCTATAAGACAACAGTAATTTAATGATTTGGGTATTTTTGTATATTTCTTCTAAGGTATTCTCAATAAAACTTACTTAATACATTACACAGCTTATAATGTTATGCATTATCAGTATTAGGGGTTGCTACAAAGTCAGCGATACAACGCAAGCATCAGTCTAGCTGACACACGTTTGCCCAGGAAGAGTAAAAGCTGCAAGTCAGTGACTCCATGCAGTCTGTATGCTTAAATAAAAATTAAACTGAAATGAAACTGACTTTGAATCTGTCAATGTAATTGGTTGGAATTGGCTTTCTTTGTAAAGTGCCTTAAGATAACGTGCTATTAATTGGCAATATGTAAAATGCATTTAATGTAGTTGAATTAAATAAACCAATCAACATCACCGCTTTCACTCAAGAAGATATAAGGGGACATCTATTGTAAAATATGAGTGCTGTAGCTTACAGTATGTTTACCTTGGAGAACCAGACAGGTTGGACTTTCAGTCCAACTAAAACAAATGACTCAGCACTAAGAAACACACATAGAATTAGATGTGTTTACTTTTACAAACATTACAGTTTGATAACTCTTATTCATGTGGTAAAAGAGACTTGAACCAATGTAAAATAAAACAAACCAAACTTTTTTGTGAAGACCAAATGATCCACTTCAAGAGGACAATATTATATGTCTTGGCATTCCTCTGTGCTTTACCATGGTCGTTATTTTAGGGAGAAATTTGGGGAATTTCCATTTTATACTCGGATGACAGATTTAAAGAGTTGCACAGTTGGTTGGTGTCAGATGCAGAGCAGCGGAGACAGGGAGAGCTGTGATTAAAAATCAGATCCGGAGCTTTAATTCCCTACCTACCCGCCTGCCCAGACTGCTGCTGTTGAGCTGTTTGATCATCACGCTGGCAGGATTGCTCAACACGTGAGAACTAAAGGCAAAAATTATCTGGATGTTTCCTCCAACTAAAAATATCTTTCTGCTTATCAAAGTTAATTAGTGTCAGAATATTTACTGACAGCAGCCCCACTGTTGTTCCTGCTTTTTTCTCCAGTCTGCTAATAATATCATCAATAGCATCAATCAAAAGGAGGCTATGGGGTTTCTTTCTCTCCTTATCACACTGCTA